CGTTGACAGCGATCATGCTCACATGGTAATTTGCTTGATAAAAAGTAGTAAAATCCTTTATTCAAAAAGTATAATCAGCTAATTATACTAATTATATAAGCACGTAAGATTGGTGTGTCTGATATATTTTCAATAAGTTCATTGTATTTTTTGATATTGAACATCTCGGGAAATTGCTAAAAGGTTTTGTTTGACTAACAGTCCATTAACCTCAAAGAAATTAAATGGACTTTTCTTTAGAAAATTGAAATCCTCATAATAGGAAGCAGGAACAAGTTCAGGTTTGGCCTCTTCTTTCAATCAATCTCCTGTCCTTCCTCCAGGTAAAGGATTAACCAATCGTTATACATTTAACTGGAAGAAATAGACACATCATACTTAAGATTGACCAAATAATAGAATATATTATAGGTCAAACTAGCCACAAGCAAATATTGATACACATTATGCATCATAATCGACAGTTAAATAATGTAAGTGGCAATTCTGATCCACTATAGTTCAGTAGTTTTTAAAGTACTTTTCCTTATTTCACAGCTTTATTTCTTTTTACTTATGTAAGTAAAGGACTGTCTGAAATAGTTTTTTAGAGTTCAAATTCTCAACTACCTCAGAATTGTATATAAGTACAAAACTTAAAATGATTGGAATTATATTTTTTAAGCCACTTTTCTCCTTTTCACATACTGAGAAATGACTTCATTACAACCAACTTACAAACAGCAAAGTGGTTTATGTATGTATATTTTGATGAATCTTCAATCACAAGTAATCAAATTAACTTCATCTTGTTTCCATTGTGTTAGTATAAGTCCCATGATAACAGATGGAACAATAACACACACGGATGTCATTGTGCAGCCCCATCCTCTCACTTCCCGCGACCCTGCATGGACAAAGGGAAGTGTCAACACCACCTCTCTAACTGCACAATTAACATGCAAATGAGCCCAGTCGCTAATGGCGATGGCAAAGCGCTCTTATGATGGAAATATGCTTTCTGTTTTGGCAGTATGGGTTAAACATTAGTTTGTGGAATCAGCTGAGGACAGGAGGGCAGAGGGCCCCGAGGCTTCCCTGAGGGCAGGAGGGGAGAGAGGGAAAGGCCTCTGCACCTGCTTCACTGACTACAACACACACACACACACACAGAGAGAGCACGACCAGGCAGTTATAATCAGCCTCGTTCAGGCTGTCAGCCCGCTCAATAACTTATCCCCTCAACTGCTTTTGTTCTAGCCGCAGCTCGGCTGATGCGGCCGCTGCCCCTTATTCAACTGACATTTATTTTCAATTTCTGCCCTCAGGCACCGCTCACTGACCGAGCAAGTAAACAAACCAGCAGTTCACACACTCCACACGTCAGGACTCTTCAGACTCAATGCAGCCACAATCTGCCGTTGCCATATCAGATGTTTATACAAACTCTGGAGCTTTAAAAGTATGAAATAGCCCTTACTGTTTGTGCATCTGACTGAAGAGACTTATACTTGAAGCTTTGAAAAGGTGTAATGGAGCTGGATAGCATCTATCAGTTTTTTTTATTTCAAACTATATATATTTTTAATTCAGTTTTTTCCATAAAGGCAGGCTGCGGTCACAGGGACACGATGGAGGCTGACAGCATTTCTTGCCTTGTTAGCATCCCTGTCAAAAGGCCTGTTAGTATTTGTGTGAATTTGTGTGTGTAGAAGCTGAACAATGCTCTAAGTGATCAACCTCGAGTGGCTCCCAGTAACAGGTGTGTGCTCTATAAAAGGACCAGTCGTTTGTCAAACCTCATGAAAAGAGGAGGTGACGGCCATGAGTCCATTTAGTCATCGCTAACCGGCCTGAAAAACCAAAACTCACTCTCTGAAGACATTAAATCTATTATATGTCCGTCAGTATTATTTATGCAGTGTGGACAACTCTGTTTAAAAAAAAAAAGACATACCCTGAAGCTGTGAACACTAGACTGGTAAACTAGGGACACTTAAGGTATTATAATTGTAGGTTTGTCTCTGCAATTATTTCCAGTATGTTGTATATTTTACCTCCGATTTATGTCTTTCGTACCCTTATGCACAATTTTTTCAGACGATTTATTTTCTGCTACTTTTTTTATTTTGACAAGTTCTTATGGGTTTTGTTAAGCTGCTGTCATTTGCACTATAAGATCGTATTGCACTGGCAATACACTTGACTCATGTATTTCGGCTAATTTATTCACGTTTTAGGTTTTGTTGCTTGCTGCAGACTTTTACAAAGGATAAGTAAAGTGAAAGCAACAGAAAGAAAATCGAGAAGTGCAAAATAAGTTCTTATTTTAATTTAATTGCCATTGGTAGAATAAAAGGATACTTGAACACCTGTGAAACAACAAGTATTCCTGCATTTTAAAGCCGTTTTTCACAGCTTTCTGCCTTTGTAATGTTGCATCATTATCACCAACTTTCTGTCTTTGCTGGGCATCTCTTAATGAAAACCATGCAGGAATCTCAGTGAGATTTACATGATTATGTAAAGTATAAATACAAATTGGAGTCTCATGAGGATAATGTTTGTGAACCCTGCTAGGAAGATAAGCCGCACCATTATGATAAACACAGTGGTGGAAAAAGGTATAATTCAATCATTGTTTACAAGTGTTTGATTACTTTTCTATTTACTTGTGGAGCTTTTGTCTTAATTACAGTGGATACATATTTTAATTTCATAAATACTCCGGTTGCCACATTTGTAACATAACAGAAAAGGCAGTGATTTACATGAATCTCTTTAACATTCAGCTGGAATGGTGTGCATGTGTCCTCTGCATGTTATTTGCATGTGCATGAGTGTTTTGTGCATTATGTGTTGGCTTACTTACAAATGATCCCCTGAATGTAACAGTGCTTGATGGCAACAGCAGTCGTCTCTGCTTTCCTCGGCTCCTAATTAGCCAGAATTAAGAAGTATTTCTCGGCCCATTGAAGAGTCCATTTCCTTTGAAACCAGAGTATAATAAACCTTAAGTAATTACCCCAACTCATGACTATTAACTCGCAAACCGCCAGCTTCCCTTGACAACATCCTCCTCAGTGTTGTGTGGTTAAAAGGCCATTGCAGCTATACCCAGCTATTTACATCCCATCTGGCAGGGTGCGAGCGAGAGACAGGCTGAACTCATTCCTAAAGACAAAACCCGAGACCCCTTTCACTCTTTCTCAACTTGTGTTTTCTTCCCTCCAAATAAGTTACAAAAGGGCTTCTCCTTTTTCTTTTTCTGTCTTTCTTTCTTTCTTTTTTTTAATCCACTCACTCATTTGCATGCACCGAGAACGAGGTGGGGGTCTGAATGTATAATCTTCCTGCATTTAGTAGCCTGTAATCCCGACGCTTTTCCTGTGATGTGAATTTCTCCTCTTGGTCCCCCATGAACAATTAACTTGTAATCTCCACAAACATACATTCTGTCGCTGCAGAGATGAGACGGAGGAACACCCAAGGGACCCGGCGGACAAACTGCTCTGCGCTCCCCGAGGCGGAGCTCCATTCAGCCGGGCTCCATTACCGCAGCCCCGCGCCTCATCTTCCCTTTCGTTAACATTCTGTCAGCTGCTCGGAAATGTTGAGTAAATGCTGTGTGACCCTGTATCTGTTTTGGTTTATCATGAGGTGGTTGGGCAACATGGGCTGAGACACAAGAGAAATTAAGTACCTGATAATATGATATCAGATTTTGGATTTGTTTTCAAGTGGCGTGTGGTTGCAGGAAATTGACTTGAATAGGAATTAGGGATTTACTAACTAAATTGTATAGTTGTTTCCAAATATATATTTTAATATACATTTCCTTAAAATCCTTAAAGCGCTGCTTTTCCCTTATGTATCCAGGGAAATTCAATTCAAAGGAGGAATAAAGTAAATTATCAGAGTACATTTCGTTTTGGCGTTTGAGTTGTGTTAATAATCAACAAAAACGAGTTTATTCTATTATTTAAAATGTCTTCGTTTATTTAAAAAAAAAAATATTGTCTGTAAAAGGAAACTCATCATAATGTTTTTAAACAGAGGAGGCCTTTGAAATAATACACAAAACTATTTTAGATATTTAAAAAATGACTTTTTTTGTTGAATTGAAATTGAAGGTGTAATAAAGGTTCGCTTTTATCAAAAATATATAAATGTTTTCATATAATGATAATATAAAATAAATCGAAGGTATATGTTTGAAGGGTTTAAATTAGCACTTTTGATTATACAAATAGGTAAAGTACAGAATAGTGCACTTTAATTAAACCACACTTTAAAAGTGTAACTCTTGACATGATAAATATGTTTTTTAAATGTTTGAGTATCCAGTAGTAATATGAAAACCATGGGAAGACGGTGAGATATGATCCACAATTTCAGTTTTATTGAAATTTCAGCCAGGGACGCTGGGCGATAATAAATATTTCATCAGTCATCAACAATGTACAAAAATAAAGACACGGGGTCTCTTGGCATAACAAATTAAGTTCAGCAAAAAACAATCATGCTGTGATAATTATACCATCATGCAAAAAAGAAAAACGATTGACAATAAAAAATGGAAATCAGAGCATTAACACACAGTGAGCCACCAAATAAAAATAAACCTACAGAATTTAAAAGAAATATAGCCAATAAAATAAGCCAAATACATAAATGTCATTATTTTTCATTTACAACTCAAGTTTAAAATCCTTGGTACAAGGCACAGAGAGCATTCTTCGTTTTCACAAAATGACGCCTGATACAAAAGAAAGGAAAATGAAATCAAAATGTTCATGCAGCCTCCTTCCACTTTTACACGTGAGACTGTAAAACTCAGACACACGGAGATGTGGCACCTTGTTGCATGACACACAACTTTTATTTTCACCTTAGATCGGCAAAATCAGCAGTCTTTAAAGTCCTTGTTACAAGGAGGAAAATTACTTTTTTTTTTCTCATACGCCAAACAAGAAAACAGACCAAACAACAACATGCACCAGTGAGACCAAACCCCCCCCCCCCCCCCCCCCCCCTCATGCCCTGAATCCTGTATTTACAAACACCATCACATGGCTCAGTCTCTGCGGGTCTGCACGCATCATTTCATCAGGTCCTTGCCCTCCACTGAGAGTCTGCTGAGGCTGGAGGAGCTGATGGGCATGTGTGGAGGAGTGGGCACCTGGCAGATGGTGCAGGGGCACGGCAGCCCGGCCCAGTGCTGGAAGCCGGGGCCCAGCTGCAGGGCCTGGGGAGCAGACGGGACGCCCTTCATCAGGGGGTGGGGGGCACGGATAGACGTGAGGCCCGGCAGCGCGCTAGACAGCGAGGAGGATGTGGGTGTTGACAGCGCGCCGCCGAGCAGAGGGTGCACCTGGTGCGCGGCTGCGGCGGCGGCTGCAGCAGCGTGGGCGGCAGCTAAGGGGCCACCGGCGTGCCCGCCCGGGCCCCCGGGGTGACCCACGGAGCCGCAGTGGAAAGCCGAGTTGTGCCCTCCGTAAATCTCCCCAACCAGCCGCTTCATCTCGTCCAGGGAGCTGTTGAGCATCAGGATGTAGTTCCGGGCGAGGAGCAGCGTGGCGATCTTGGACAACTTGCGCACCGAGGGCCCGTGCGCGTACGGCATCACCTCGCGCAGGCCGTCCATAGCCAGGTTGAGGTCGTGCATGCGCTTCCTCTCCCGGCCGTTGATCTTGAGTCGCAGGTGGTACATATCTTCTTCCGTGACTGGTTTCTTTAGCTTGAACTTGTTGCTGTCGCCGCTGCTGCTGTCGCCGCTGCTGCTGCTCTCCACTGACTTCGGGTCTTCGGATCTCAGGAGGTCGCTGTCGCTCAGCTTCTGGGTGGAGGAGGACACGGAGGATCCGACGAGGTGGTGGAGGTGGTGGTGGTGGTGTGGATGGTGTTCTCGGAGTGACATAACGTCCATGTCCGGGGAAGAAGCTCTGCTGCTATCTGAGTCTGAATTCATTTTATGGGTTGGCTTCAGAGGTGGTTGTAGGAGGTCTCTCTCACTTCCCCCCTCTCTCTCTCTTTTCTCCCTCTGTCTCTGGCCACCTGATGTTGTCCCTCCTGTCCCACGCTTTTGTCCCTCTTATCACATCGGTGTCCACTTTCTCTCTATCTGCCTCTCTGTGTCTCTGCGGTGAGGAGGACACTGATAGTGGGTATTTATACACGCAGGGAAACAAAAGCGGCTTTCCTATTCATAACGCATATAGAGGATGACGTGCCCGTTAGAAAGGGGGCGGTGTGCTTTGACTGTCCCAGTGACCGCGGTGCGCAACCATTCACTGCCATTGTCAGGACACTGCTGGGGGGCACAGCGCGCCTCTCTTCTTCTTCTTCTCCTTTTTTCTTCTCTTCTTCCCTTTCTCTTCTCCTCCTGGGATCAGAAAAGTTGCTCCTCCGGGGACGAACATGGTCAGTTTTAAAATTGCTTCTTTATTCGATTTAAAAAAAAGACTATTTTATGTCATAGAAGTTGTTTTTATTATAATACGTTTTTGTTGTATTATATTTTATCCATAAGATACCGAAAAACCTGTAATGGTCTTGTCCGAGCATTGTATGTGCTGCGTAATTTTACTTTGTTTTACGCACAACATCCTTGTTATAACATCGCCAAAAGTGTTGCTTTTTATTTCAGCTGTTTCAATACATATTTTGTTGGTAATATGCAGCAATAAAAGTGAAGACTGTTCTCTAAAATACATCCCCAGCTTCTCACACATTTCTAATTTTCAGTGTTTTTCGTACGGTCAAATTTCAAAGCAAACTCTCGCTGGTTGCCTGAGGGAGTGAGGAGGAATGAAGGAAAATTGCTTCCCCATTCAACAGCTCCTGTGCCGCAGGGAGTCGGCCTCCGCTGGGACAGAGAGGTAACAGAGAGGGAACAGGCCGCTCCGACACTCCGCACTCTGCTGGCCATATGGCAGCATGTGGGCCTCGTGTCTGGACCTCCATAAAACCTCTCATAGCTCTCCCACGTCTTATACTAAAAAAACATTTTCGTTTAATTTCTTTCATTTTTTAATATCCGATATTTCATAACTTATAACTGTGTTTTCCCACAATTCATTCAAACAATGTTCTCCCTAAAAATGAACAAGTACATTTGGATTAATAACATTTAGCATATAGTTATACATTTCTTTTTAGATTTAATGACAGTCAAAATACTGAGAAAAACTGCTCATAAAACAGCCATGCAACCATTTTCAAAAATGTCATTACAAATACTTGATTCTTCCCTTAAGGCGCTGTTTGAGGCAAACACCACACACAGAAATCTACAAGTACAAAATAAGGAAGAATATTAGAAAATGCCATGCTACAAATATGTGTAATAAATGTGGCAATAAACATTATACATTGAAATCACATTGAACTATATTTCACAATAAACCGATTAATGAAAATAAAGACAAAACATTTACCCTCTTCAAATATATTTTATTAATCAATCAGACAGATCTCTAAAGGTGTTTTTGTATTAAATGAATACAAGAATACACTAAATTGAGTCAGCATTGTCTATATTGAGCTGCTGAGAGAGCTCTCTCCACTCTGAAGAGTCTCCTCCAGATCTGTTTTGTGAAGGTGGAGTGGAGGAACAGGCCTCCAAACAATAACATGTGGAACTCAAGCACGACCACCTCAGCCTCCATCCGTCTGTCCGTCCGTTCATCCAACCGTCTGCACACCCACCCACCCAGCACTTCAAACCCATAATAAAGTCTGTCTCAAACTCTGCTCTATCCTTCGCCAATGAGATCCCCCTGGTAGAACAGTAAAAACGAGTATTCACGGCCTCATTGTTGGCCCTGCAAAAGAGCCCTTCTCATAAAGGTGCTGCCAATGCAAAGAAAAGCGCTGGTCGGCTTTGCTCTCTCTTGGTGGCATTTGAAAGTGTAAAGCTTTGAATACCAATTGCTTGAACTGGACATATGTGAATCCGCTGTAAGCCTACTAATCCTGTCCCCAAGTGTTTCTTTGTGTGCGGGGCAGCCTCGCACACCCAAGAGAAAGTGTTCCTAATCCGGCCAATGTGGAGAAATGTGTGAATGAGAGGGCCAGCGAGGAGGTGTGTGAGCATGAGTGTGTGTCAGGTATCAGTCTGTGCAGGAAACACATGCTTTTTGAATGAGTTTATTTTGCTTTATGCGTGTGTTTTTGAGTGTGTGTGTGTGTGTGTGTGTGTGTGTGTGTCCATCTGAGGCCCCTGGCTCCACACCACCAGGACACTGGTCTAAATGGAGGCAGTTATTCACCGTTCCCCACAGCACTGTCGCAGCAGGTCGCCCCTAATGTGCTCTTTTCACTGTGTAAGCTCCTCGCTTTCCCTTTATTCCTCTGTTCATATCTTTTTTTTTATCTCTTTCCCTTTCTCCTCCTCTCAAACTGTTCCTCGCTTGCTCTCGCTTACTTCTCCTTGGTTTCTGGCTGCCTTTTCTCTTTCTCTCTTCTTATAAGTGGCTCTTTGCCCTCACTTCAGATTTTTTATTGGCAGCAAAAGGACAGCTAGTTAGCTGCTAATAGCCATTAGATCAAAATGTGGGTCAACACTGGGTTAACTTTACACTTTGAGAGGGGAGTTATCTTTCAGCACAAATTAATCAGACAGCAAATTGGCAGAAAGGATGTATGGGGAATGTGATCTTCCTTTAGAGAAATACAACACTTAAGGTGATTCATAACATGTTGCTGGGTTACAGTTCATTGTTCTGAATGAGTAAATGACCTAATGTCCAAAACAGTGAAAATCAGTTACATCTTAAAAAACGACTCATCAGAAATACCTGTACACTTTGCCACATGCCACACCCTTTCTATTCCCCTCATATTCTTATAGATTGAATGTCATTTTTATTTCTTCAAATTCACTGCTTCAAAGTGTATCTCCGAATGTGTGTTTTATTTTTCCAATCAACCCGATAACTTTGTATTTCCTTGTTTATATCGGTACTTTATACGAACACAAACAAAAAGACCAGGATGTTTTTTTAGTTCAGCTTATGCTCAAAGTACATGATGTCTTCAAAGCGAGTTTGATATTACCAATGAAGAGACTGACAATGTGAAAGGTGTCAATAGTAATAATGATCCAACAGAGAATCTCCTCTTTAATATACAGCTTCCCTCTTTATGGTTATCATTTATAATATAAGTTGTTAAAATGTCAAACCCACATATTTACTGTTTTGGCTCACTCATGGCTCTAATAGCATCATATCTTGCCACAGCATGCAACTGTTTTCAGTATAAAAGCTCTAGAAACCAATTGTACTCTACCTGTTCAGCACCAAACAGTAGGCAGGCACAGTCAGGGATCCTTATGGTGAACATATTTAGGCATTTAGCAGCTAAAGAGCCCATATGTCCATCAGGCATGTCTAAAGACCAAAGCAAATAGATTAATATTGGACTTAATTGTCTCTTACGCGACTCCAAATGAATTATGATGTTACTTTGTCACATGAAATAACTTTAAAGATCCAAGGTGAGTACAGTAGTAGTTTGGTTACTCACCTGTGTATTGCAGTTTTAAATTCCTCATAGAAGTAAATCAACACGTTCCAGAAGGCAAGGCAAGTTTATTTATATAGCACCTTTCAACACAAGGCAAAGTGCTTTACATGAATGAAAGACATTAAGAGCATTAAGAGCCATATTATTGAAAAGCCATTTAAAAAAACTCATTTAAAAGCAAAGATAATAAAACATGAATAACAAAGGTACATGAATTGAAGTTACAGCAGTGTGAGATACACACATCTGAAATGTTTAGGTCTGACTCTCAATCATTGCCAACTTTTTAGCAGAAATAGTTTTCTTTGACCTCACTTTCTTTCGACTTTCTTTTTTAACTTATCCTTTAGTTATTTCAAGTAATTTAATCTGCAACCCAAAATTCTGAAAATTCAACGGATCCTGGCCATATTTGTGTAAAATGTATTTGCTCCCAGACATTCATGTGGCTTTCTAGTTTTGGACCCCATCTGTAACCCCAAAACAAACTATCTCCTCCCCGTTCCTCCCTCCTGGGTGGGCCACTGCCCCCCCTCTAATGAGCTCAGGGCCGTAAACAGTCACTGGAGGCGTTCCTCCAGCAGCATGTGAGGACAGTAATCGGCTGTTTCACCATCACTGAGACACAAACGGTGTCATTTAAACATCTCTGGGTTGAAAGGAGCAAACACAATATGCACTCGGAGGGAGACACGAGGTCAAGGTCGCAGCCAACGTTTGAAGGTCGATATTCAAGTGAAACATTATCTCTTGCAATCAACCGTATGCATATTCATGTGAAATCCACAATAATAGGTATATTTTAGTTACTGTTTTTGAATATCTGTTGCAAACGGAAACCATATCCTTTTATTTTGCAATTTCTATTTGATTATTTGAATACTGGTCATCATAGAGATTGTTTTCGGTGTCAGTTTACTGAAAATAGCTCCGATGTGTTGCTCCGTCTAAAATATGCCGGCACCTTCTGAATAAACAGCTGCTGTTCATTTGTTCACATTACAAATTGTGTCCACCTGTTTTTACATCAAGATATCATAAGTCTGATTAAGTGGGGGTTTAATGTCATGTAGTTAAACAATGAGTGACAACTGTTTGAGTTTACCAAAAATATATATGATTATCATCCCCTCAAAACGTGACAACCTTATCATAAATAATTGAATAAACAAAGTCAAAAATAGGTATTGTTGCGTCGTTGTTGGTGCTCTGGGGAAAATTAGGGAAAAATACTTCTTCCAAATTATGAAATGAACTGCATGTATTCAGGATGACTAACTCATGAGGGACTCCAAAATGCCAGTTGGGATTCGGAGAGATTCACTTACTTAACTGTGTATTGTCAAAGAAACGTTTGCTTGCACCATGTTGATTTACAGTATACAGTATGTTTGCCAAATGCAAGAGTAACTGCCGATCTATTCTCCTTTTAGTTTGCCTGTCAAAGCCACCATTTGAAGTTGCACAAAGAGAGATTTCACAAAGGCTGCAGCATTTGAATGGCAGATGGAAGACGGCAACACGAGTATAGCGATCTGAGAGTAAAACCCTCCAGCCATCTTCAAAAGTATATTTCTCACATTCATATATTTTAAATTAA